AACTCAGAAAGAAATGCAGTACGTGAAGGACGCAGCATCTTCCAATGTCACCGACATTGATTTCATGAGATAATTTTTCAACACTAGCGGGCTAGTTAACATCACTTGGTACAGAAACCGATTCCTTGGTATCTCCAAACTGTGGGAGGATGGATTATGAAGTTTATGAGATTGTATACCCCTATCAACATTAACTGGCGAATATAACCCTTTCATTCTTCCAAACTGGAGGCAGGCACTGATCATTCACAGAAATGCAAAAGCGAAATGCGTCACTGATAGGATGAGAAGGATAGCAAACAAAAGAACGCAAAAATCCAATCCTGACATCTTGACTTTATAATACTTGAGATATTATAAGCTTCACTCCATAGGTGTGAATCGCCAAGAGGACGGCAACGAATGCAGCCTGCTTCAGCCAGATGAAGAGGGAGAGGAAACTCTTGGCCAGGATATATCGGGCCTAAAATCTAAACATGAAATGTTAGAAATCTAAAGCCAGCACATGACCATCCAGTTCCTCATATGAGAATCATAAACTCAGAAACCAAGTAAATTTTGTGAATTACCTTTGGAGCAATACCAAATGGAATATCAAACCGGACTTCAAGCAACAAAGAAGTTGAGTTTAAAATTACAACCTGAAAGCAAAGAGTTTCTAAGAACCTAAAAGAACCAAAACCATATTAAAAGAGGCCAGAATTGGGACATACTGTTGAATATAATCGCATCAATTTTGTAAACCGCTGTACAGAAACGTCAATCACTACAGGAATTGCAAACCCTCTAACTGCATCTGTCCCACCATCTCCTTCAACTTTTTTATGTCTTTTCGTAGAATTTACATCGCTATATATCTCCGAAACATGTGATGATTTGGAAAATTCAACCTCGAAGTATCTGCGGCCAACAAGATCCATTGAAATAGGGGCTGAAGGTACAGAGGTACCCTCCAGTTGGAAAGTAACATATCTATGTGCTGCCTCAAGTAATTGCTTGTCATTGAGTTTATCAGAAGACTGCACTGGTCTATAGCGGAAAAGTAGGTCCTCGGGTGATTCATTGATGTAAACAAGTGTAGAAGAACCAGGTTGCAGGACACCTTTCGATGGAGACACATCCAAATCATCAGCCCCAAGTTTCCTTTGGCAAACACAAAAAACTAGAGGCACAGTAGTTAAATTTTGTAGCATGTATGGAGCATATCTTCTCGTCTCTGGACCTTTCATTATTTCAAAACTTGAGATATGTGAACTTTCTGTCTCCATAAAGCTCCATGCATCCTTCATCATCTCATTTGCCCTCGAAACGACCTTATTTAAGCAACTTTGAGTGCTTAGTTATACATTAGAAGAGGGAAAATGATAACACCAACAAAAAAAAACAAAAAACCAAAAGAAATGAAATGAAAAAGTAAGGCTCAAGCAGACCTAGTGATCAAGAAAATATGCGATAGTTAAACTTGGCAGTTGATCTAGTTAGCATGATGCATTTGATAGAAAACCAACCAATAATATACAGGAACTCGAAGAATCCCTCGAGAAGAAGACGTGGTTAAACTTTACCTAAAACAATAGAAACGCGAAAAGAGATACCTCAATTATGGATTCGTTTAGATTCAAATTGAGATTCGTCTTAGATTCAAGATTGATGTCTGACATCATAGCGCCACTAAAGAGAGCGTTCTCGTCCTGCTTCCTACTCATACTCAACTGAAATTTCCAAGGCTCCAAAAAAGGCTCCCACAAGACCTGAAGTGGTATTATCATGTTAAAACAGAACCCCAGATTAACGAGTCAGAATTAATATAGGATAATGATCATTCCTACCTTGTCAATGCTGTAGTAGTTCACTTGAAAATCACAACCAACCGATCCTTCAATTTCATCCTCAATTACAGTGGACCAAAAATATGAGTTTCTCAGCAAAAACTCCAGCAATGGTCCATTAGAATTCCCCTACATAACAAAAAAAAAAGGAACATGAAAACTCAGAATTGCTACATTTATCAGTTCACTTCTCAACACAATCACACAAAACCCAAACTTGACTTTAACTAGTCATAGTATATTGAGAAATGAAGTTATACAGATCCTGATTTGATAACACGAAAAGAAGATTAATTCAAAAGACCCTTTTAGGATAATATTTTGGGTCTTAAGGATTAGATCATTTCTTTAAGGACAGTATCACAGAGAGAGAAAAGAGTCTAACAACATGTAGAAGTTGGGCAGGTTGATATAATGAGTTAAGCAAGGAGTAAATTCACCTTACTTTATGTGCCTCGCCATTACTTTCTGCCAAACAGGTAATTGGTCCCATTCCTATCCCTCTACACTCCCTATCTCCTCACTGAATACAGTCTTAAGTAACCATATTAATACAATTTATATTCACCAGACCCCTCCCTTCCAACCATACATTTCCAAGACCATATTTTTTCTACTCCATCAGATCTAATCATGCCCTGCCAGTTACTGACTTGAAAGCCACCATCCACCTTAATATGGCAGAAAGCATCCAATTTTAAAGGGACTAATAACGTGCTCCCAACTTCTCAGTCAATCTATCACAAACATCAGCTTGGTGTTACTACCTCAACGTGACACCCTATGCCCCCTTGTCATCTTGATAATGTATACTTAAAACTAAAATCCAAGACAAGTTATGACACCTCACACCTATAACCCCCTTGCCACTAGACAATGTATACGAAGATTTAAAACCCAAGACAAGTTGAGCAGAATGCCATAAACAGGATTGGGTGAGCTGATATTTTCTTGTAAATCAAAATTGTGGAGGTTGGCGTAAAATGGAGAGAAACACTGCTTAGTTAAATTTCCATAGAACTGTTTTTTCATTGTCTATTCTGAATCCTCATCTGATATCATGTTTCAAAAGATTATGTCACTTCTGGTTGAGGGGTCTAGGGTGGAACCACATTGAAAGTTCAATAAACCTGACAATTGTTGTGAAACAATAAATACATATCTTCTGTTCTCATTGTATTTTTGGCCCATACACAGTTTTTAGCTCTAATGCTAAAAAGATACCACAACAAAAAGGTAATATAGCAGCAACTAGATTCCTATCTTTCCATTAAACTATGCAAAACCATATAATAGCTAAATTTATACAGTGTAAGCATCAAATACTTTGACCAACGCAAAATGCCTATTTCAGTAATAATAAAAGAAAAAAGAGAAGTGTCTGATTTCCATAAAAGAAAAGCAATACTGATAAAAATATTGTAGTTGCCATGCAAAGCATAACATCAGAAGAAATTTACCTTCCAATCCGTTAAAAGAAGAGAAAATTTCCTTAGTTGCACTTTAATGTCCATTCTCTTGAATTTAAATTGAGAAGGTGTTTCTTCTGATTTTGCAAACCATGTAAAGTGAAGGAGGTAAAGAATGTGGTTTGAGATTGACAAATCCAGACTGTCGCAACGAACCAACAAACTCATGTGACATTTTCAGTCTGATACTTCAAAATCTCAGCCTCGATATAGATTTTAGAAAGCTGAAAAAGAGGCCAGGACTGTACATTGTTTCCCGTATATAATTTCATAATCCCATTCAAATTCCCAGAACTGATAGTCAGTTTCACAGTTTTGCCATCA